ACCAGAAGTACGAACGAACGATAGTACAGGTAAGATCCCAAATGGGATGAGCGGGGAAGACGGGACAGATGAAGAATAGTGCTGGAGAGCAGTGTTCTTAGTCGTAGAAATAGAGCCAGGGCTTAACCCAGCAGCGAGGCGATCGTGGGACAGATATTGAGAAGAGAAATTCAGGCTCTTCTGTTGGGACTCCGGTGGGGTGAGCGGGGAGGAAGGGACATGCGAAGATTAGCGCTAGAGAGGAGTGTAGAACTGAGCCATGTCTTAACCCTAAAGCTAAGGCGAACGTGGGTCAGAGAATGGTACCTGTCATAGAAGGTACCTGTCAGTGAATCCAAGGTTATTTGTAAATAGGGTTAGGAGCAGGATCATGCAAGGAGTAGAAAAGGTTGTGTTGGTTTGTGGGTCTGCGAATGTCTTCGTCAAGGAGAGAGGTCCAGTAGTCATGTCGTGTCTCAAGTTTGTCTATCTGTCTGTCACTGAGCGTCTTCCAGTACAGATTCAGCGCAGGGATGTCTAATTGAGCATGGAGAGACTCGCTTGTGGCAAAGTCCTCCCATCTGACATCAAGCACCCAGCCTTGTTCTGGACACGCTGCAGTTTAAATAAGTTTGTTTTAGCTGCAAGAGAGAGGGCTAGAGGAGAGTAAGTTATCAGAGGACGTATTAGGGATTTGTAGAGGTGTAGTTTGGTGCGTTGGGAGGCATGTTTCAGCTTGTAGAGGCCCGCAAGGGCCTTACTAGCTATTGCATGCCTTGAGTGAATGTGTCCGTGTAAACGAAGAAGGTAGTCAAGATTAACGCCAAGGACAGTGACAGATTGTGTGATGGGGATGTAAGTGCGGGTGTCAGCTGTTCTGAGCTCGACAGGTAATGAAGGATCACGTTTCCTGTAGTTAAAATACGTAATGCTGGAGTTAGCTGCATTGGTTTTGATCCTCCATTTTTGTTCCCAGAGACCAGAAGTGGAGCAGGACGACTATATATAGGCAGGAAGAGGTATTGGTGGTGGTAGTAGTAGTAGTAGTAGTAGTAGTAGTAGTGGTGGCAGTAGTAGTAGTAGTGGCAGTAGTGGTAGTGGTGGTAGTGGGGAATTAAGGAGGAGGAGCCAGTCAAATATAAAGAAAGGGGAGCACTGCAAGGCAGCTAGGTGCCCACAGAGGGAGAGCAAGTGCACAGAGGTGGGGGGAAGGGGAAGTGATGAAATAAATAATGAAGGAACAGAAACACGCGACAGAAGAAAGACAAAAAAAGGAAAGAGGAAAGGGGAAGGAGAAGAAGAAATGAGGAATCAGAGATGGGAAACAGCAACAAGGGGTCACAATTGGACGCTGAAGACTCAGATGAATCACAGGGATATTTGGAGGTATTTCTTTAGTCATAGAGTTGTCAGGAAGTGGAATAATCTGGCAAGTGATGTAGTGGAGGCAGGAACCATACATAGCTTTAAGATAATGTTTGATAAGCTCATGAAGCAGAGAGATAAGATAAGATAAGATAAGATTTCGTTCGGATTTTTAACCCCGGAGGGTTAGCCACCCAGGATAACCCAAGAAAGTCAGTGCGTCATCGAGGACTGTCTAACTTATTTCCATTGTGGTCCTTAATCTTGTCCCCCAGGATGCGACTCACACCAGTCCACTAACACCCAGGTACCTACTTGCTGCTAGGTGAACAGGACAACAGGTGTAAGGAAACGTGTCGAAATGTTTCCACCCGCCGGGAATCGAACCCGGGCCCTCCGTGTGTGAAGCGGAAGCTTTAGCCACCAGGCCACCGGGCCTAGTAGCAACCAGTGAAGAGGCGGGTCCTGGAGCTATGAATCGACCCCTGAAACAATAAATAGATGAATACAGCTCACGGACCAGGGAGTGACCTAGTAGACCAGTGAAGAGGTGAGGCCAGGAGCTATGAATCGACCACTACAACCACAATTAGGTGAGTAAACACACACACACACCAGGGCTAGGAGTTATGAATCGACCCATACCACCACAATTAGGTGAGTAAACACACACACACACACACACACACACACACACACACACACACACACACACACCCACACACACACACACACACACACCAGGAGCTCGGACTCGACCCCCGCAACCTCAACTAGGTGAGTACACACCAGAGAAAGTGCAAAGGTTTGCAACAAGACTAGTCCCAGAGCTAAGAGGTATGTCCTACGAGGAGAGGTTAAGGGAAATCAACCTGACGACACTGGAGGACAGGAGAGATAGGGGGGACATGATAACGACATACAAAATACTGAGAGGAATTGACAAGGTGGACAAAGACAGGATGTTCCAGAGATTGGACACAGTAACAAGGGGGCACAGTTGGAAGCTGAAGACACAGATGAATCACAGGGATGTTAGGAAGTATTTCTTCAGCCACAGAGTAGTCAGTAAGTGGAATAGTTTGGGAAGCGATGTAGTGGAGGCAGGATCCATACATAGCTTTAAGCAGAGGTATGATAAAGCTCACGGCTCAGGGAGAGTGACCTAGTAGCGATCAGTGAAGAGGCGGGGCCAGGAGCTCGGACTCGACCCCCGCAACCTCAACTAGGTGAGTACAACTAGGTGAGTACCAGGGCTAGGAGTTGTGAATCGACCCATACCACCACAATTAGGTGAGTAAACACACACACCAGGGCTAGGAGTTATGAATCGACCCATACAACCACAATTAGGTGAGCAAACACACACACACACACCAGGGCTAGGAGTTATGAATCGACCCATACCACCACAATTAGGTGAGTAAACACACACACACACACACACCAGGGCTAGGAGTTGTGAATCGACCCATACAACCACAATTAGGTGAGTAAACACACACACCAGGGCTAGGAGTTATGAATCGACCCATACAACCACAATTAGGTGAGTAAACACACACACACACCAGGGCTAGGAGTTGTGAATCGACCCATACAACCACAATTAGGTGAGTAAACACACATACACACCAGGGCTAGAAGTTATGAATCGACCTATACAACTACAATTAGGTGAGTAAACACACACACACACACACACACACACACACACACACCAGGGCTAGGAGTTGTGAATCGACCCATCCAACCACAATTAGGTGAGTAAACACACATACACACCAGGGCTAGGAGTTATGAATCGACCCATACAACCACAATTAGGTGAGTAAACACACACACACACACACACACCAGGGCTAGGAGTTATGAATCGACCCATACAACCACAATTAGGTGAGTAAACACACACACATGCACCAGGGCTAGGAGTTATGAATCTACCCATACAACCACAATTAGGTGAGTAAACACACACACACACCAGGGCTAGGAGTTATGAATCGACCCATACAACCACAATTAGGTGAGTAAACACACACACACACACCAGGGCTAGGAGTTATGAATCGACCCATACAACCACAATTAGGTGAGTAAACACACACACACGCACCAGGGCTAGGAGTTATGAATCGACCCATACAACCACAATTAGGTGAGTAAACACACACGCACACACACCAGGGCTAGGAGTTATGAATCGACCCATACCACCACAATTAGGTGTATAAACACACACACACACACACCAGGGCAAGGAGTTGTGAATCGACCCATACCACCACAATTAGGTGAGTAAACACACACACCAGGGCTAGGAGTTATGAATCGACCCATACCACCACAATTAGGTGAGTAAACACACACACACACACACACACACACACACACACACACACACACACACACACACACACACACACACACACACACACACCAGGGCTAGGAGTTGTGAATCGACCCATACCACCACAATTAGGTGAGTAAACACACACACCAGGGCTAGGAGTTATGAATCGACCCATACAACCACAATTAGGTGAGTAAACACACACACACACACACACACACCAGGGCTAGGAGTTGTGAATCGACCCATACAACCACAATTAGGTGAGTAAACACACATACACACCAGGGCTAGGAGTTATGAATCGACCCATACAACCACAATTAGGTGAGTAAACACACACACACACACACACACTAGGGCTAGGAGTTGTGAATCGACCCATACAACCACAATTAGGTGAGTAAACACACATACACACCAGGGCTAGAGTTATGAATCGACCCATACAACCACAATTAGGTGAGTAAACACACACACACACCAGGGCTAGGAGTTATGAATCGACCCATACAACCACAATTAGGTGAGTAAACCACACACACACACACACACACCAGGGCTAGGAGTTGTGAATCGACCCATACAACCACAATTAGGTGAGTAAACACACACACACACACACACACACCAGGGCTAGGAGTTGTGAATCGACCCATACAACCACAATTAGGTGAGTAAACACACATACACACCAGGGCTAGGAGTTATGAATCGACCCATACAACCACAATTAGGTGAGTAAACACACACACACACACACACACCAGGGCTAGGAGTTGTGAATCGACCCATACAACCACAATTAGGTGAGTAAACACACATACACACCAGGGCTAGAGTTATGAATCGACCCATACAACCACAATTAGGTGAGTAAACACACATACACACACACCAGGGCTAGGAGTTATGAATCGACCCATACAACCACAATTAGGTGAGTAAACACACACACACGCACCAGGGCTAGGAGTTATGAATCGACCCATACAACCACAATTAGGTGAGTAAACACACACACACACCAGGGCTAGGAGTTATGAATCGACCCATACAACCACAATTAGGTGAGTAAACACACACACACACCAGGGCTAGGAGTTATGAATCGACCCATACAACCACAATTAGGTGAGTAAACACACACACACACACACCAGGGCTAGGAGTTATGAATCGACCCATACAACCACAATTAGGTGAGTAAACACACACACCAGGGCTAGGAGTTATGAATCGACCCATACAACCACAATTAGGTGAGTAAACACACACACACACACACAGCTGAACTTACTATTGTCAATACCAAGGAGGTCCTCAAAGGTCTGACTGATGGGGTTGAAGGAAATAACGTAAGTTCCCAGCAGGTTAATCACTTGCAGGACTATTGCAGCCTTAACGATGCCTTTACTCGAGTCCACAGCCAACAGGACATTATCATTAACATCTATACCCTGTATCACGTACCCTGCTGTAGCCACGGGCAGGTACAACACCAGCAACACTGTAAAAGATAATTTGTGTGTTGACAACTTCTTTACCAGATTTACAAAAAAAGTGACCTTATTATTGTCTGCATAAATAACCCATAACGGTTGTGACCAGATATAAACATGTAAACAGTTCATTACCACTGTAACTTATTACCACTGTAACTTGTTTATTACCACTGTAACTTGTTCATTACCACTGTAACTTTTTTATTACCACTGTAACTTGTTTATTACCACTGTAACTTGTTTATTACCACTGTAACTTGTTCATTACCATTGTAACTTATTACCACTGTAACTTGTTTATTACTACTGTAACTTGTTCATTACCGCTTTAACTTATTACCACTGTAACTTGTTTATTACCACTGTAACTTGTTTATTACTACTGTAACTTGTTCATTACCACTTTAACTTATTACCACTGTAACTTATTACCACTGTAACTTGTTTATTACCACTGCAACTCGTTTATTACCACTGTAACTTATTACCACTGTAACTTGTTTATTACCACTGTAGCTTGTTTATTACCACTGTAACTTGTTCATTACCACTGTAACTTGTTTATTACCACTGTAACTTGTTTATTACCACTGTAACTTGTTTATTACCACTGTAACTTGTTCATTACCATTGTAACTTATTACCACTGTAACTTGTTTATTACTACTGTAACTTGTTCATTACCGCTTTAACTTATTACCACTGTAACTTGTTTATTACCACTGTAACTTGTTTATTACTACTGTAACTTGTTCATTACCACTTTAACTTATTACCACTGTAACTTATTACCACTGTAACTTGTTTATTACCACTGCAACTCGTTTATTACCACTGTAACTTATTACCACTGTAACTTGTTTATTACCACTGTAGCTTGTTTATTACCACTGTAACTTGTTCATTACCACTGTAACTTGTTTATTACCACTGTAACTTGTTTATTACCACTGTAACTTGTTTATTACCACTGTAACTTGTTTATTACCACTGTAACTTATTACCACTGTAACTTATTACTACTGTAACTTGTTCATTACCACTGTAGCTTGTTTATTACCACTGTAACTTGTTTATTACCACTGTAACTTGTTTATTACCACTGTAACTTGTTTATTACTACTGTAACTCGTTTATTACCACTGTAACTTATTACCACTGTAACTTATTACTACTGTAACTTGTTCATTACCACTGTAGCTTGTTTATTACCACTGTAACTTGTTCATTACCACTGTAACTTGTTTATTACCACTGTAACTTATTACCACTGTAACTTATTACTACTGTAACTTGTTCATTACCACTGTAGCTTGTTTATTACCACTGTAACTTGTTCATTACCACTGTAACTTGTTTATTACCACTGTAACTTGTTTATTACCACTGTAACTTGTTTATTACTACTGTAACTCGTTTATTACCACTGTAACTTATTACCACTGTAACTTATTACTACTGTAACTTGTTCATTACCACTGTAGCTTGTTTATTACCACTGTAACTTGTTCATTACCACTGTAACTTGTTTATTACCACTGTAACTTGTTTATTACCACTGTAACTTGTTTATTACCACTGTAGCTTGTTTATTACCACTGTAATTTGTTCATTACCACTGTAACTTGTTTATTACCACTGTAACTTATTACCACTGTAACTTATTACCACTGTAACTCGTTTATTACCACTGTAACTTGTTTATTACCACTGTAACTTGTTCATTACCACTGTAACTTGTTCATTACCACTGTAACTTGTTCATTACCACTGTAACTTGTTCATTACCACTGTAACTTGTTCATTACCACTGTAACTTGTTCATTACCACTGTAACTTGTTCATTACCACTGTAACTTGTTTATTACCACTGTAACTTGTTCATTACCACTGTAACTTGTTTATTACCACTGTAACTTGTTTATTACCACTGTAACTTGTTTATTACCACTGTAACTTGTTTATTACCACTGTAACTTGTTTATTACCACTGTAACTTGTTTATTACCACTGTAACTTGTTTATTACCACTGTAACTTGTTCATTATCACTGTAACTTGTTCAATACCACTGTAACTTGTTCATTACTACTGTAACTTGTTCATTACCACTGTAACTTGTTTATTACCACTGTAACTTGTTCATTACCACTGTAACTTGTTCATTACTACTGAAACTTGTTCATTACCACTGTAACTTGTTTATTACCACTGTAACTTGTTTATTACCACTGTAACTTGTTTATTACCACTGTAACTTGCTTATTACCACTGTAACTTGTTTATTACCACTGTAACTTGTTTATTACCACTGTAACTTGTTTATTACCACTGTAACTTGTTTATTACCACTGTAACTTGTTCATTATCACTGTAACTTGTTCAATACCACTGTAACTTGTTCATTACTACTGTAACTTGTTCATTACCACTGTAACTTGTTTATTACCACTGTAACTTGTTCATTACCACTGTAACTTGTTCATTACCACTGTAACTTGTTTATTACCACTTTAACTTGTTTATTACCACTGTAACTTGTTCATTACCACTGTAACTTGTTTATTACCACTTTAACTTGTTCATTACCACTGTAACTTGTTTATTACCACTTTAACTTGTTTATTACCACTGTAACTTGTTCATTACCACTGTAACTTGTTCATTACCACTGTAACTTGTTCATTACCACTGTAACTTGTTCATTACCACTGTAACTTGTTTATTACCACTTTAACTTGTTTATTACTACTGTAACTTGTTCATTACCACTGTAACTTGTTTATTAGCACTGTAACTTGTTCATTACCACAGTAACTTGTTTATTACCACTGTAACTTGTTCATTACCACTGTAACTTGTTCATTACCACTGTAACTTGTTTATTACCACTGTAACTTGTTTATTACCACTGTAACTTGTTCATTACCACTGTAACTTGTTCGGTTATCAAAGCTTTGTGGCCCAGACCCTGGACCCATTATGCAATTCTGTCATACTTTGACTAGAACTCACACCATGAGTATGGTGTGACTACCATCCACACCATACTCATGGTGTGAGTGGTTATTTGATAAAGCTCCAGGAGCTTTATCAAAGCTCCTGGAGAGCGAAACGTTGCCACACTAAAATGTCACATTAGTTGTTCATTTGTCCTTTTATCTGAACGGGATTTGGGTAAAGAAAGATCTTACCAACGAAAGCCACAACAACGGCTTTGCTGAAGAGTGACCGGTCACCCATGTCGTTCTGGATGGTGGGGAAGACTGAGGCTCCTCCGAAGGCGAAGAGGATGGCACCGAAGCCAAGAGCAAAGGTGTCGACGGTGGGGTTCTGGTAGATGGGGTTCTTGTATGCGTCTGCCTCTAAGATGAGTTCGATAAAGATAACAATACACGCTACTGCTGTGGCGGTTGCTGCTAACACCGACGCTTGCCTGGAAAAAATACGGGGTTGAGCACTTTCCCAAGCATAGGTTAGCTTTAGCGCCATTAGGATTGCAAACAATTCAGTTTGCAGTGTAAACGCCCAGTTGTTAATTCTTATGCCTAACTCAACAAATTTATTATCGTTCTTAACTAGGGAGGTGGCAACAAGAGCAGATGCAGCCCTGCCAGAAGACTCCTGTTTAGATCCATCAGTGTATATAACTTGTGATAACTTATTACTACCAGCTAGGTGAGAAATTTCTTCTTGAGCAGTTGCTCTAACAAGAGATTTAAGGAAGGGATTACTAGCAATGAGCTTCTTGGGAGGGACTTGCAGGTATGTGATATTAAATGAACACATCTTCCATGGAGGGGTGAAATGCTCTTGTTGCCTACAGTGATACAGTTCATGCAGGTTATAAAACTTAATGCAATTGCACGTTTTCACAATCCATTTAGATCTGTGTGTATTTACCTCTAGACACTTGGTAAGATTCACTGTGACAGTGTCTGGTTCGTTTCTCAACATTCTAATACCGAGTACAGTGTTAATTTCAACAATCCTACCACACTACCGTCCACAGGATGGATATGGGGTGCACAATAAACTAGCCACTTCGGTGGCAAAATCTAAAAAAAAAAAAACCAAGGTGAGGAATACTGGGCATGATTCCTTACATCTGCTGACCCTGTTTACCTAGCAGTAAGTAGGTACCTGGGTGCTAGTCATCTTACATCTGCTGTTTCTGGTTACCTAGCACTAAGTAGGTACCTGGGTGCTAGTCACCTTACATCTGCTGTTCCTGGTTACCTAGTACTAAGTAGGTACCTGGTTGCTAGTCACCTTACATCTGCTGTTCCTGTTCACCTAGTGGTAAGTAGGTACCTGGGTATTAGTCACCTTACACCTGCTGTGTCTGATCACCTAGCAGTAAGGAGTACATGAATGGTAAACGTCTGCAATAGAGATACGTATCCAGACGTTGCACATGCCTAATTTTTTAGCAGTAAGTAGGTACCTGGGTGTTAGTCACCTTACACCTAGACATCTAACCTATACTTGAAGCTACTTGTAGAAATAATGAATTATTATTAAAAATAAATGATTCAAACAACCGACAAGGCTGAGGGACTCATTACATCGACTACAGGCTGAGGGACTCATTACATCGACTCCAGGCTGAGGGACTCATTACATCGACTACAGGCTGAGGGACTCATTACATCGACTCCAGGCTGAGGGACTCATTACATCGACTACAGGCTGAGGGACTCATTACATCGACTACAGGCTGAGGGACTCATTACATCGACTCCAGGCTGAGGGACTCATTACATCGACTACAGGCTGAGGGACTCATTACATCGACTACAGGCTGAGGGACTCATTACATCGACTCCAGGCTGAGGGACTCATTACATCGACTACAGGCTGAGGGACTCATTACATCGACTACAGGCTGAGGGCTCATTACATCGACTCCAGGGTGAGGGACTCATTACATCGACTACAGGCTGAGGGACTCATTACATCGACTACAGGCTGAGGGACTCATTACATCGACTCCAGGCTGAGGGACTCATTACATCGACTACAGGCTGAGGGACTCATTACATCGACTACAGGCTGAGGGATCATTACATCGACTACAGGCTGAGGGACTCATTACATCGACTACAGGCTGAGGGACTCATTACATCGACTACAGGCTGAGGGACTCATTACATCGACTCCAGGCTGAGGGACTCATTACATCGACTATAGGCTGAGGGACTCATTACATCGACTCCAGGCTGAGGGACTCATTACATCGACTCCCGGCTGAGGACTCATTACATCGACTCCAGGCTGAGGGACTCATTACATCGACTCCAGGCTGAGGGACTCATTACATCGACTCCAGGCTGAGGGACTCATTACATCGACTCCAGGCTGAGGGACTCATTACATCGACTCCAGGCGAGGGACTCATTACATCGACTCCAGGCTGAGGGACTCATTACATCGACTCCAGGCTGAGGACTCATTACATCGACTCCAGGCTGAGGGACTCATTACATTTGACTCCAGGCTGAGGGACCATTACATCGACTCCAGGGTGAGGGACTCATTACATCGATCCAGCTGAGGACTCATTACATCGACTCCAGGCTGGGGACTCATTACATCGACTCCAGGCTGAGGGACTCATTACATCGACTCCAGGCTGAGGGACTCATTACATCGACTCCAGGCTGAGGGACTCATTACATCGACTCCAGGCTGAGGGACTCATTACATCGACTCCAGGCTGAGGGACTCATTACATCGACTCCAGGCTGAGGGACTCACCACCTTAAATACTTTTCCTGCAATGTTGATAGACTGATTACATCTTTATTTCACTAACACACTTGCTGTCTCTGTATCTGACTGAAGAAGTCTACTGGTGGGATGGCCCGATGGCTAAAGCTCCGGCTTCACACGCGGAGGGCCCGGGTTCGATTCCCGACGGGTGGAAACATTTCGACACGTTTCCTTACACCTGTTGTCCTGTTCACCTAGCAGCAAATAGGTACCTGGGTATTAGTCGACTGGTGTGGGTGGCATCCTGGGGGACAAGATTAAGGACCCCAATGGAAATAAGTTAGACAGTCCTCGATGACGCACTGACTTTCTTGGGTTACCCTGGCTGGCTAACCCTCCGGGGTTAAAAATCCGAACGAAACCTTATCTTATCTTATCAATAACGATACCCAACTGTTGCACATGTGTCTTAATCTTCAACTATTCGGTATTTTATACCATTTTCAACATATTATCTTGTAAAAAAAGACACATAAGAATAGAGATAAGCTGCAGCAGGTCCACTGACTCACATTTGCTAAGTTCTTCTCAAACACAACCCTGTACCATTCAAATTTTTCTCCAGCCTACTCTCTGAGCTCCACAAGGTTCAAGCTTCAGTAAGAATAAATTTGAACATTAAAATGGTATAAAATACCGACAGGTTGTTAGGTAAGACACATATGCAACAGTTAGGTATCTTTATTGTGAAACGTTTCGCCTACACAGTAGGCTTCTTCAGTCGAGTACAGAAAAGTTGATAGAAGCAGAAGATACTTGAAGACGATGTAATCAGTCCATCACCCTTAAAGTTTTGAGGTGGTCAGTCCCTCAGTCTGGAGAAGAGCATTGTTCCGTTGTCTGAAACAATATTGTTCCATAGTCACTTCAACTCCATATTGTTTCAGACAACGGAACAATACTCTTCTCCAGACTGAGGGACTGACCACCTCAAAACTTCAAGGGGATGGACTGATTACATCGTCTTCAAGTATCTTCTGCTTCTATCAACTTTTCTGTACTCGACTGATGAAGCCTACTGTGTATACCTGGAGTTTACCTGGAGAGAGTTCCGGGGGTCAACGCCCCCGCGGCCCGGTCTGTGACCAGGCCTCCTGGTGGATCAGAGCCTGATCAACCAGGCTGTTGCTGCTGGCTGCACGCAAACCAACGTACGAGCCACAGCCCGGCTGATCAGGAACTGACTTTAGGTGCTTGTCCAGTGCCAGCTTGAAGACTGCCAGGGGTCTGTTGGTAATCCCCCTTATGTGTGCTGGGAGGCAGTTGAACAGTCTCGGGGGGCCCCCGACACTTATTTTTATGGTCTCTTAACGTGCTAGTGAACCCCTGCTTTTCATTGGGGGATGTGCATCGTCTGCCAAGTCTTTTGCTTTCGTAGGAGTGATTTTCGTGTGCAAGTTCGGTACTAGTCCCTCTAGAATTTTCCAGGTGTATATTAACATGTATCTCTCCCGCCTGCGTTCCAGGGAAAACCCGGTTTAGGAACCTCAAGCGCTCCCATAATTGAGGTGTTTTATCTCCATTATGCCGCCGTGAAAATTCTCTGTACATTTTCTAGGGCGGCAATTTCACCTGCCTTGAAAGGTGCTGTTTGAGTGCAGCAATATTCCAGCCTAGATAGAACAAGTGACCTGAAGAGTGTCATCATGGGCTTGGCCTCCCTAGTTTTGAAGGTTCTCATTATCCATCCTGTCATTTTTCTAGCAGATGCGATTGATACAATGTTATGGTCCTTGAAGGTGAGATCCTCCGACATGATCACTCCCAGGTCTTTGACGTTGGTGTTTCGCTCTATTTTGTGGCCAGAATTTGTTTTATACTCTGATGAAGATTTAATTTCCTCATGTTTACCATATCTGAGTAATTGAAATTTCTCATCGTTGAACTTCATATTGTTTTCTGCAGCCCACTGAAAGATTTGGTTGATGTCCGCCTGGAGCCTTGCAGTGTCTGCAATGTCCGCCTGGAGCCTTGCAGTGTCTGCAATGTCTGCCTGGAGCCTTGCAGTGTCGCAATGTCTGCCTGGAGCCTTGCAGTGTCTGCAATGTCTGCCTGGAGCCTTGCAGTGTCTGCAATATCTGCCTGGAGCCTTGCAGTGTCTGCAATGTCTGCCTGGAGCCTTGCAGTGTCTGCAATGTCTGCCTGGAGCCTTGCAGTGTCTGCAATGTCTGCCTGGAGCCTTGCAGTGTCTGCAATGTCTGCCTGGAGCCTTGCAGTGTCTGCAATGTCTGCCTGGAGCCTTGCAGTGTCTGCAATGTCTGCCTGGAGCCTTGCAGTGTCTGCAATGTCTGCCTGGGGCCTTGCAGTGTCTGCAATGTCTGCCTGGAGCCTTGCAGTGTCTGCAATGGAAGACACTGTCATGCAGATTCGGGTGTCATCTGCAAAGGAAGACACGGTGCTGTGGCTGACATCCTTGTCTATGTCGGATATGAGGCGAAACGTTTCGAAATAGATACCTAACTGTTGCATATATGTCTTACCTGAACAAGATTAAATTTGTCATTGGGATAACATTTGGCTCCAAACATTTTCAAGTTTTAACAAAGCCCTGTACAGTGAAATGTTGTTTCAATTAGTTTTTTTTTTTTTTAAAGATTCGCCGGTATTCTCCCGGCCCGAGCCTTGTCCAAGTGGTGGCCCGGCCTTGGCTCCCTCTTTAGGGAGTGTCTGAGACCTAAGTCTCCCATGGGAGGAGGTACAAGTACCTCCTCATCTTTGGGACCAACTGTCCCCAGGCCTAGCCACAAGCTAGGCCTCTCTGGTCCGCCATCCCCGCCACAAGGGGGCTAATGGGAATGACAGTCTTATGAGCTAAAGGCTCGGGCTCAGGCACCTACCCTACCTTCTAGTAGAAGGGTTAGGCATGGTGTCGATGTTGATTCCAATTAGTTTGTTCTTCACTCCCTCTCCTTGTTATGGTTTATAGGGCCACTGACCGCTTGCACCGTACTTATGTTGCGGATTATAGGGCCACTGACAGTTTACACCAGGAAATCCCGTCTACCAGTGAGCCAAGAAGAGTACCCAGAAGGAGAACGTAGAATATAACTTTGGTATAACTGTGTCTAGCATTAGGAATAATATTAGGAGAGAAGTAAATAATGAAAATGATTGTTATAGGAATGCAGTTAGAAGCCTGAGTAGATCTATAACCCACTATGATAACATGAACGTAGATAAGTATGTTTATGGAGCAACTTGCAATGTGAACACTGACTGATGTTGTAGTGGCCAGGCTTAGGCTTGGTTACAAGTACTGACTGATGTTGTAGTGGCCAGACTTAGGCTTGGTTACAAGTACTGACTGATGTTGTAGTGGCCAGACTTAGGCTTGGTTACAAGTACTGACTGATGTTGTAGTGGTCAGACTTAGGCTTGGTTACAAGTACTGACTGATGTTGTAGTGGCCAGGCTTAGGCTTGGTTACAAGTACTGACTGATGTTGTAGTGGCCAGGCTTAGGCTTGGTTACAAGTACTGACTGATGTTGTAGTGGCCAGGCTTAGGCTTGGTTACAAGTACTGACTGATGTTGTAGTGGTCAGGCTTAGGCTTGGTTACAAGTACTGACTGATGTTGCAGTGGCCAGGCTTAGGCTTGGTTACAAGTACTGACTGATGTTGTAGTGGCCAGGCTTAGGCTTGGTTATAAGTACTGACTGATGTTGTAGTGGCCAGGCTTAGGCTTGGTTACAAGTACTGACTGATGTTGTAGTGGCCAGGCTTAGGCTTGGTTACAAGTACTGACTGATGTTGTAGTGGTCAGGCTTAGGCTTGGTTACAAGTACTGACTGATGTTGCAGTGGCCAGGCTTAGGCTTGGTTACAAGTACTGACTGATGTTGTAGTGGCCAGACTTAGGCTTGGTTACAAGTACTGACTGATGTTGTAGTGGCCAGGCTTAGGCTTGGTTACAAGTACTGACTGATGTTGTAGTGGCCAGACTTAGGCTTGGTTACAAGTACTGACTGATGTTGTAGTGGCCAGGCTTAGGCTTGGTTACAAGTACTGACTGATGTTGTAGTGGCCAGACTTAGGCTTGGTTACAAGTACTGACTGATGTTGTAGTGGCCAGGCTTATGCTTGGTTACAAGTACTGACTGATGTTGTAGTGGCCAGGCTTAGGCTTGGTTACAAGTACTGACTGATGTTGTAGTGGCCAGGCTTAGGCTTGGTTACAAGTACTGACTGATGTTGTAGTGGCCAGGCTTAGGCTTGGTTACAAGTACTGACTGATGTTGTAGTGGCCAGGCTTAGGCTTGGTTACAAGTACTGACTGATGTTGTAGTGGCCAGGCTTAGGCTTGGTTACAAGTACTGACTGATGTAGTGGCCAGGCTTAGGCTTGGTTACAAGTACTGACTGATGTTGTAGTGGCCAGGCTTAGGCTTGGTTACAAGTACTGACTGATGTTGTAGTGGTCAGGCTTAGGCTTGGTTACAAGTACTGACTGATGTTGTAGTGGCCAGGCTTAGGCTTACCTGGAGTTTACCTGGAGAGAGTTTCGGGGGTCAACGCCCCCGCGGCCCGGTCTGTGACCAGGCCTCCTGGTGGATCAGCGCCTGATCAACCAGGCTGTTGCTGCTGGCTGCACGCAAACCAACGTACGAGCCACAGCCCGGCTGATCAGGAACTGACTTTAGGTGCTTGTCCAGTGCCAGCTTGAAGACTGCCAGGGGTCTGTTGGTAATCCCCCTTATGTGTGCTGGCTTGGTTACAAGTACTGACTGATGTTGTAGTGGCCAGACTTAGGCTTGGTTACAAGTACTGACTGATGTTGTAGTGGCCAGGTTTAGGCTTGGTTATAAGTACTGACTGATGTTGTAGTGGCCAGACTTAGACTTGGTTACAAGTACTGACTGATGCTGTAGTGGCCAGGCTTAGGCTTGGTTACAAGTACTGACTGATGTTGTAGTGGCCAGGCTTAGGCTTGGTTACAAGTACTGACTGATGTTGTAGTGGCCAGACTTAGGCTTGGTTACAAGTACTTCTGGCAGTTTGGGAGACACACAGATGATGATCAAACTAAATGTAAATTATGTGATCAGGCATATGGTCACTCTCTTGAACACTATGTGCTTAATTGTCCACTTATTGAGGAATACAGAGACAGACAGTATAATAACCTATGTGACATGTCAATATATCTTATTAATGAAAATAAGATACCAGATATACTAAGCAAATTTCCTAAATTTGCTTGTAACAGATAAGTGAACTATAGATATGTAGATATAAATCCATATGTATTCCTGTTAACACTTTGGGGCCTAGTTCCTAGGCCTTTTGTGTATCCATATGCTCTCGCGCTACCGTCCACAGGATGGATGTGGGATGCACAATAAACTAGCCACTTCGGTGGCAAAATCTAAATCTCTTCGTCTGCTACACGTCCCTCACCACCTGATGCCAGTATATAAGCACCAGCTTTCTTGCCTGTGTTTCAGACTCTTCAAGACTAGGGTGCTTTTCACCAACTCCAAGGTTGAGGGACTGATTACCTCACCTTTTGTATACAGTTCTACTGTCTTCCATTTATGTCTTTGAATTTGTACTGATCAAGCTACTGGTTGACGAAACGTCTACAGTAAAGATACCCAGATGTTGCACATCTGTCTAATTTTCGGCTTATATCGTACTTCTAGTGTTGTGGATTATAGAGCCACTGACAGCTTACATCAGACATCTCGTATTGTGGATTATAAGGACATTGACGCTTACGTACTATCTTCTTGTGGTTAGTAGGGTCACTGACAGCTTACACAGTGTTGAGTATTATATGGCCACTGGCGGTTTACGCCACTTACTACTGTGCAATCTACATCTACAGGGCCTTAAACTCTAATATTAACCTTGACCTAAAACGCTTTCTTGATAGTTGTGACAGAACCCACAGGCACAACACCAGACACAAACATCTCTATGACATTCCCCGTGTCCGACTAAACCTTTACCAAAATTCAATGTATGTCAAAGGCCCTAAAATCTGGAACACCCTACCTGAGAACTCTAGAACTGCAGACACATTCATCACCTTCAAAACTACCATTAGAAAACATCTTATCTCCCTGATACACCCCGTCAACTAACTACACGAATACCACCTGGTGGTTCACACTTACACTCACTCACTCATTTGACCATAAACAGAAATATTAATCTCAATCTTAAAATAATAAATCCTGTGATACTCCAATACTGAAACTATGTACTGTGCCAAAACAAAAGCATTCACATTGCTAAACTCACAAACTAGTATTTAGTCACTTAGCCATAATACCAACTTACCTCATTTTGTAATATTTTACAATTAAGAATAAAACTAAGTCTGCCCGAAATGCCTAGTCATGCTAAGCGTTCTAGTGGTACACTCTGTAATGCCCAGCCATGCTAGGTGTTCTAGTGGTACACTCTGTAATGCCCAGCCATGCTAGGTGTTCTAGTGGTACACTGTAATGCCTAGCCATGCTAGGTGTTCCAGTGGTACACTCTGTAATGCCTAGCCATGCTAGGTGTTCTAGTGGTACACTCTGTAATCATTATTTTACTACATGTAAACCACACAATAACCAAATTTTTGTAAACTCAACATTGTAATCCTTATAGAGAATAAACTTTGAATTTGAATTTGAATTTGAATATCGAGCTCTTCACTATCATCGCCAGTACGATGTTTTCAGCTACGACAGAAAGCTTTTGTTCCCTTAACTTAACAGGTGCCTTTTGTTCCCTTAACCTACCAGAAGTCCTTGGGAGTTCCCAGCCAGGTGAGTGGCAGTAAGAGAACAGCAGTGATCAAGACCCACTCGCAGAGGGAGACTTGTACCACGAGTTGGTTCATGAAGGAGGCAACAAGAATGAGAAAGACAATGGTTCCTCCCAGTAAGGTGGTCAACATGCATACCAGGACCAGACGTCTGTAGGAATGGACAAAACTTTTATGATGGATGCGTGGAACATTAAGGCAAAGAAGAAGAGAAGTGGGAGAAACAATTGAATGAGAAAGAGAAGTTAATCAATTATTATTCAATTTTATTCATGATTTCAAGTATTTATTGTCTCACTAAATATAGTGAAAAAATAATTTATAATCACATGGGTGTTTAAAAATAAGCAACTTGCCCGAAATGCTCTGTATAACCATGGGCTTTCTACACAAGAACATTAGAATGGAGGAATACTATAATAGGCCTACTGGCCCATATTAGGCACGTCCTTAGACCCGCATTATCAAGTATCACCCCGTTCTGTATTAACAATGTATCATGTAAAACCAAACTTTGAATTGAAATTTGAAGTGGAAATAATATCTTAAAAAGGTGAAGTTAAAGGTCAAAGGCCAGGGGAAGTCAAAGGTCAGGGGAAGTCAAACGTCAGGGGAAGTCAAAGGTCAGGGGAAGTCAAACGTCAGGGGAAGTCAAAGGCCAGGGGAAGTCAAAGGTCAGGGGAAGTCAAACGTCAGGGGAAGTCAAAGGCCAGGGGAAGTCAAAGGTCAGGGGAAGTCAAAGGTCAGGGGAAGTCAAAGGTCAGGGGAAGTCAAAGGTCAGGGGAAGTCAAAGGTCAGGGGAAGTCAAAGGCCAGGGGAAGTCAAAGGTCAGGGGAAGTCAAAGGTCAGGGGAAGTCAAAGGTCAGGGAAAGTCAAAGGTCAGGGGAAGTCAAAGGTCAGGGGAAGTCAAAGGTCAGGGGAAGTCAAAGGTCAGGGGAAGTCAAAGGTCAGGGAAAGTCAAAGGTCAGGGGAAGTCAAAGGTCAGGGGAAGTCAAAGGTCAGGGGAAGTCAAAGGTCAGGGGAAGTCAAAGGTCAGGGGAAGTCAAAGGTCAGGGGAAGTCAAAGGTCAGGGGAAGTCAAAGGTCAGAGGAAGTCAAAGGTCAGGGAAAGTCAAAGGTCAAGGGAAGTCAAAGGCCAGGGGAAGTCAAAGGTCAGGGGAAGTCAAAGGTCAGGGAAAGTCAAAGGTCAGGGGAAGTCAAAGGTCATGGGAAGTCAAAGGTCAGGGGAAGTCAAAGGTCAGGCACTTCTATAGACATTTGACTGGTAATTGTGGCTTACAGGGTCACGTAAGCCGAAACCAAAGCCTGTTAAGGAACTCTTGGCATCATGAAACCAAATTCGGTTAACGAGCTCGTTGTTTTGAAAGTGAACCCGGGTAGTGGACTCGTGATCTCGGTACTGAATCCGGTTAAGAGGCTCGTGGCTTGAAACCACAACCGGTTGTGGAAACTATAATTCTCAGTTAAGGGAACCGTACACTTTTAAAAGTGGTATAAACCGCCTGAATGAGCATCGAAATGCCTCTAACAGAGACGATGTAAGGTACGCCTGTGTCCTCCACAGAGACTCAACGGGGCATTTGATGAACTGGAACGAGGCACAACTCGTTCTCACCGAACCAGACCTCAGACGCCGACGGTGCCTAGAAGCCTCACTAATCACCGTCACCGACACTATAGAACGCAACACTGGAAACTACAAAATTTCAAAAACATTGGCATACATGATACTTAAGCAGCACCAACCCAACAACACAGGAGTCACATGATTTCATCGTCTACCCGTCCTCATCATAGACAGAGGTTGTTTTGATAAGGACCTGCCTCGCATGGGCCAGTAGGCCTTCTACAGTGTTCCTCCATTCTTATGTTCTTATGACATTCCTCAGGTCACGTGCGTCACATCTCACTCTCCGCCTATATATATAATGTCTTTCTACCTCTGTATGTTAGAAGTGATCAAGGTCCCAGGACCGAAACGTTTTCTAATAAATATGTTATAGTGTTTGCTTACGTGTCTTTCTAAACCAACTTTTAAAAGTGAACCCGTGGGAAATTAAATCTTTTTAAGAGACTCATAAACTTTAGAAACCGAACTTAGTTACCTGGAGTTTACCTGGAGAGAGTTTCGGGGGTCAACGCCCCCGCGGCCCGGTCTGTGACCAGGCCTCCTGGTGGATCAGAGCCTGATCAACCAGGCTGTTGCTGCTGGCTGCACGCAAACCAACGTACGAGCCACAGCCCGGCTGATCAGGAACTGACTTTAGGTGCTTGTCCAGTGCCAGCTTGAAGACTGCCAGGGGTCTGTTGGTAATCCCCCTTATGTATGCTGGGAGGCAGTTGAACAGTCTCGGGGCCCTGACACTTATTGTATGGTCTCTTAACGTGCTAGTGACACCCCTGCTTTTCATTGGGGGGATCGTGCATCGTCTGCCAAGTCTTTTGCTTTCGTAGTGAGTGATTTTCGTGTGCAAGTTCGGTACTAGTCCCTCTAGGATTTTCCAGGTGTATATAATCATGTATCTCTCCCTCCTGCGTTCCAGGGAATACAGGTTCAGGAACCTCAAGCGCTCCCAGTAATTGAGGTGTTTTATCTCCGTTATGCGCGCCGTGAAAGTTCTCTGTACATTTTCTAGGTCGGCAATTTCACCTGCCTTGAAAGGTGCTGTTAGTGTGCAGCAATATTCCAGCCTAGATAGAACAAGTGACAAGTTAATGGACTCATTGAAAACACGAACTTAAGGGACTCTTGTACTTCAGAACTTGGTTAAGGGACTCGTACTTCAGAACTTGGTTAAGGGACTCGTACTTCAGAACTTGGTTAAGGGACTCGTATACTTCAGAACTTGGTTAAGGGACTCGTACTTCAGAACTTGGTTAAGGGACTCGTACTTCAGAACTTGGTTAAGGGACTCGTACTTCAGAACTTGGTTAAGGGACTCGTACTTCAGAACTTGGTTAAGGGACTCGTACTTCAGAACTTGGTTAAGGGACTCGTACTTCAGAACTTGGTTAAGGGACTCGTACTTCAGAACTTGGTTAAGGGACTCGTACTTCAGAACTTGGTTAAGGGACTCGTACTTCAGAACTTGGTTAAGGGACTCGTACTTCAGAACTTAGTTAAGGGACTCGTATACTTCAGAACTTAGTTAAGGGACTCGTATACTTCAAAAGTTGGTTAAGGGACTCGTATACTTCAGAACTTAGTTAAGGGACTCGTATACTTCAAAAGTTGGTTAAGGGACTCGTATACTTCAGAACTTAGTTAAGGGACTCGTATACTTCAGAACTTAGTTAAGGGACTCGTATACTTCAGAACTTAGTTAAGGGACTCGTATACTTCAGAACTTAGTTAAGGGACTCGTATACTTCAGAACTTAGTTAAGGGACTCGTATACTTCAGAACTTAGTTAAGGGACTCGTATACTTCAGAAGTTGGTTAAGGGACTCGTATACTTCAGAACTTAGTTAAGGGACTCGTATACTTCAGAACTTAGTTAAGGGACTCGTACTTCAGAACTTAGTTAAGGGACTCGTATACTTCAGAAGTTGGTTAAGGGACTCGTATACTTCAGAACTTGGTTAAGGGACTCGTATACTTCAGAAGTTGGTTAAGGGACTCGTATACTTCAGAAGTTGGTTAAGGGACTCGTATACTTCAGAACTTGGTTAAGGGACTCGTATACTTCAGAACTTGGTTAAGGGACTCGTATACTTCAGAAGTTGGTTAAGGGACTCGTATACTTCAGAAGTTGGTTAAGGGACTCGTATACTTCAGAAGTTGGTTAAGGGACTCGTATACTTCAGAACTTGGTTAAGGGACTCGTATACTTCAGAAGTTGGTTAAGGGACTCGTATACTTCAGAACTTGGTTAAGGGACTCGTATACTTCAGAAGTTGGTTAAGGGACTCGTATACTTCAGAAGTTGGTTAAGGGACTCGCATACTTCAGAACTTAGTTAAGGGACTCGTATAGTTCAGAAGTTGGTTAAGGGACTCGTATACTTCAGAAGTTGGTTAAGGGACTCGTATACTTCAGAAGTTGGTTAAGAGGAAAGAGTCAGCAAGGACCTGTGCTCAACACGAGTACATGAGAGAGCCTTGCCTTGCATGAGGTCCCATCGACCTCTCTGCGATCTCCAGGTACGGAGTCCTGCAGGCGTTCTTGTACTGCTGGGGCCACCGCTCCTCCAGCAGCATCCAGCACTTGCCCAGCCTTGTACCGGAGAAACCGATAGCAACGCAGAACACCACCAGCAGGAGAACACCGATCCATCCTGAAGAAGGAACAAGCAGTCAGGAAAAATGATTGTGGGACATGACTCTCAAAGCCATGTAACACTAATAATAATAATAACAATAATAATAATAATAATAATAATAATAATAATAATAATAATAATAACAATAATAACAATAATAACAATAATAATAATAATAATAACAATAACAATAATAATAATAATAATAATAATAATAATAATAATAATAATAATAATAATAATAATAATAATAATAATAATAATAATAACAATAATAATAATAATAATAACAATAACAATAATAATAATAATAATAATAATAATAATAATAATAATAATAATAATAATAATAATAACAATAATAATAATAATAATAACAATAACAATAATAATAATAACAATAATAATAATAATAATAATAATAATAATAATAATAATAATAATAATAATAATCATAATAATAATAATAATAATAATAATAACAATAATAACAATAATAATAATAATAATAACAATAACAATAATTAATAATAATAATAATAATAATAATAATAATAATAATAATAATAATAATAATAATAACAATAATAACAATAATAACAATAATAATAATAATAATAATAATAACAATAACAATAATAATAATAATAATAATAATAATAATAATAATAATAATAATAATAATAATAAATCTTTATTTCCACATTTACAAGGTATACAGACCATAGCTGACATCAATGACATACTACTACATAGAAAGCCGCTTGTTATGTATAGCATTTCTGGCAAATTAGGTCAGTTTTGTCCCAGGATGCCGCCCACACCAATCGATTAACACCCAGGTGAACAGTGACAGCAGGTGTAAGGTGACTGACACCCAAGTACCTACTAACTGCTAGGTGAACAGTGACAGCAGGTGTAAGGTGACTGACACCCAAGTACCTACTAACTGCTAGGTGAACAGTGACAGCAGGTGTAAGGTGACTGACACCCAAGTACCTACTAACTGCTAGGTGAACAGTGACAGCAGGTTGTAAGGTGACTGACACCCAAGTACCTACTAACTGCTAGGTGAACAGTGACAGCAGGTGTAAGGTGACTGACACCCAAGTACCTACTAACTGCTAGGTGAACAGTGACAGCAGGTGTAAGTTGACTGACACCCAAGTACCTACTAACTGCTAGGTGAACAGTGACAGCAGGTGTAAGGTGACTGACACCCAAGTACCTACTAACTGCTAGGTGAACAGTGACAGCAGGTGTAAGTTGACTGACACCCAAGTACCTACTAACTGCTAGGTGAACAGTGACAGCAGGTGTAAGGTGACTGACACCCAAGTACCTACTAACTGCTAGGTGAACAGTGACAGCAGGTGTAAGGTGACTGACACCCAAGTACCTACTAACTGCTAGGTGAACAGTGACAGCAGGTGTAAGTTGACTGACACCCAAGTACCTACTAACTGCTAGGTGAACAGTGACAGCAGGTGTAAGGTGACTGACACCCAAGTACCTACTAACTGCTAGGTGAACAGTGACAGCAGGTGTAAGGTGACTGACACCCAAGTACCTACTAACTGCTAGTGTGAACAGTGACAGCAGGTGTAAGGTGACTGACACCAAGTACCTACTAACTGCTAGGTGAACAGTGACAGCAGGTGTAAGGTGACTGACACCCAAGTACCTACTAACTGCTAGGTGAACAGTGACAGCAGGTGTAAGTTGACTGACACCCAAGTACCTACTAACTGCTAGGTGAACAGTGACAGCAGGTGTAAGGTGACTGACACCCAAGTACCTACTAACTGCTAGGTGAACAGTGACAGCAGGTGTAAGGTGACTGACACCCAAGTACCTACTAACTGCTAGGTGAACAGTGACAGCAGGTGTAAGGTGACTGACACCCAAGTACCTACTAACTGCTAGGTGAACAGTGACAGCAGGTGTAAGTTGACTGACACCCAAGTACCTACTAACTGCTAGGTGAACAGTGACAGCAGGTGTAAGTTGACTGACACCCAAGTACCTACTAACTGCTAGGTGAACAGTGACAGCAGGTGTAAGGTGACTGACACCCAAGTACCTACTAACTGCTAGGTGAACAGTGACAGCAGGTGTAAGGTGACTGACACCCAAGTACCTACTAACTGCTAGGTGAACAGTGACAGCAGGTGTAAGGTGACTGACACCCAAGTACCTACTAACTGCTAGGTGAACAGTGACAGCAGGTGTAAGTTGACTGACACCCAAGTACCTACTAACTGCTAGGTGAACAGTGACAGCAGGTGTAAGGTGACTGACACCCCAAGTACCTACTAACTGCTAGGTGAACAGTGACAGCAGGTGTAAGGTGACTGACACCCAAGTACCTACTAACTGCTAGGTGAACAGTGACAGCAGGTGTAAGGTGACTGACACCCAAGTACCTACTAACTGCTAGGTGAATAGTGACAGCAGGTGTAAGTTGACTGACACCCAAGTACCTACTAACTGCTAGGTGAACAGTGACAGCAGGTGTAAGGTGACTGACACCCAAGTACCTACTAACTGCTAGGTGAACAGTGACAGCAGGTGTAAGGTGACTGACACCCAAGTACCTACTAACTGCTAGGTGAACAGTGACAGCAGGTGTAAGGTGACTGACACCCAAGTACCTACTAACTGCTAGGTGAACAGTGACAGCAGGTGTAAGGTGACTGACACCCAAGTACCTACTAACTGCTAGGTGAATAGTGACAGCAAGTGTTGTAAGGAAGCACGTCCTAATGTTTCTACCCGTACCGGGAATCGAACTACGGACTTCAATGTGTGAGCTGAGAGCGCTACCAACAGAGCTACGGTACGATGGAAATATAAACACATATGCAGTATAATGTGATCCTTTATTGACTACGTTTCGCCCACACAGTGGGCTTTTTCAAGTCACAAACAGTTCTGTTTGTGACTTGAAAAAGCCCACTGTGTGGGCGAAACGTAGTCAATAAAGGATCACATTATACTGCATATGTGTTTATATTTCCATTGTGTCGGTATTTTATACCATTTATTTCCAGAGCTACGGTACACCATGTAGAAGCGATAAACACGAGGAAATTAAAACTTCATCAGAGTACAAAACAAATTCTGGCCACAAAATAGAGCGAAACACCAACGTCAAAGACCTGGGAGTGATCAAGTCGGAGGATCTCACCTTCACGGGGAATTACCAATAGACTCCTGGCAGTCTTCAAGCTGGCACTGGACAAGCACCTAAAGTCGGTCCCTGACCAGCTGGGCTGTGGCCCGTACGTTGGATTGCGTGCAGCCAGCAGTAGCAGCCTGGTTGATCAGGCTCTGATCCACCAGGAGGCCTGGTCACAGACCGGGCCGCGGAGGCGTTGACCCCCGGAACTCTCTCCAGGTAAACTCGCATGTGGTCAGGCAGCCCTCGGGGAATGATCATCTTCCAGCACGGCTACAGTTACCATCACCTGACTATTACCATCTTCCAGCACAGCTACAGTTACCATCACCTGACTATTACCATCTTCCAGCACGGCTACAGTTACCATCACCTGACTATTACCATCTTCCAGCACAGCTACAGATACCATCACCTGACTATTACCATCTTCCAGCACGGCTACAGTTACCATCACCTGACTATTACCATCTTCCAGCACGGCTACAGTTACCATCACCTGACTATTACCATCTTCCAGCACAGCTACAGATACCATCACCTGACTATTACCATCTTCCAGCACAGCTACAGATACCATCACCTGACTATTACCATCTTCCAGCACAGCTACAGATACCATCACCTGACTATTACCATCTTCCAGCACGGCTACAGTTACCATCACCTGACTATTACCATCTTCCAGCACGGCTACAGTTACCATCACCTGACTATTACCATCTTCCAGCACAGCTACAGATACCATCACCTGACTATTACCATCTTCCAGCACGGCTACAGTTACCATCACCTGACTATTACCATCTTCAAGCACGGCTACAGTTACCATCACTGACTATTACCATCTTCCAGCACAGCTACAGTTACCATCACCTGACTATTACCATCTTCCAGCACGGCTACAGTTACCATCACCTGACTATTACCATCTTCCAGCACAGCTACAGTTACCATCACCTGACTATTACCATCTTCCAGCACGGCTACAGTTACCATCACCTGACTATTAACCATCTTCCAGCACAGCTACATGTTACCATCACCTGACTATTAACCATCTTCCAGCACGGCTACAGTTACCATCACCTGACTATTACCATCTTCCAGCACAGCTACAGTTACCATCACCTGACTATTGTCATCTTCCAGAACAGCTACAGTTACCATCACCTGACTATTACCATCTTCCAGCACAGCTACAGTTACCATCACCTGACTATTACCATCTTCCAGCACAGCTAGTTACCATCACCTGACTATTACCATCTTCCAGCACAGCTACAGATACCATCACCTGACTATTACCATCTTCCAGCACAGCTACAGATACCATCACCTGACTATTACCATCTTCCAGCACAGCTACAGTTACCATCACCTGACTATTACCATCTTCCAGCACAGCTACAGATACCATCACCTGACTATTACCATCTTCCAGCACAGCTACAGTTACCATCACCTGACTATTACCATCTTCCAGCACGGCTACAGTTACCATCACCTGACTATTACCATCTTCCAGCACAGCTACAGATACCATCACCTGACTATTACCATCTTCCAGCACGGCTACAGTTACCATCACCTGACTATTACCATCTTCCAGCACACCTACAGTTACCATCACCTGACTATTACCATCTTCCAGCACGGCTACAGTTACCATCACCTGACTATTACCATCTTCCAGCACAGCTACAGATACCATCACCTGACTATTACCATCTTCCAGCACAGCTAGATACCATCACCTGACTATTACCATCTTCCAGCACAGCTAGTTACCATCACCTGACTATTACCATCTTCCAGCACAGCTACAGATACC